GCTATCAAAAGATATAGCGTCTGGGGTCTTAAAGGCTTGAAGATAAACAAGCGGCCATCCAGCTGAGAAGCATCAAAGCCCACATGGAAGAAGCACACCAGCCTGTCTGACCACGAGGTGCAGAAGGGACCAGTTATCAGACATCAAAAAACTAAAAATCAGATCAGTGGGTGCCCACCTTCCTGATATGATCACTGAAAACAAAGGTGTGCATAAGCAAAGATGGTGAAGAAAGCTGATGGTGCCTGGCTATCAAAAGACAGAGCATCTGGGGTCTTAAAGGCTAGAAGATAAACAAAAGGCCAACTAGCTCAGTAGCAACAAAGACCACATGGAAGAAGCACACCAGTGTGTGACCACGAGCTGTCAAAGGGATCGGGTATCAGGCATCAAGGAACAAGAAATCATGTCATTGTAAAGGTGGGTGAGAGTAGAGTGGGCACTCAGAGACCATCGGTTGGCAACAGAACACCCCCCTGCTAAGGGGTTTTGGGGAGGACACGAGCTAATTAGGGTGCAGGGTAGTAACGATGAAACACATAACTTTCCTCTAGTTCTTTAATGCTTCCTCCCCCCAATATCATGATCCCAATTCTGCCTTGCAAATCTGGCTAGACCAGAGGATGTACATTGGTACAGATAGCAACTTGAAACACAGGGAATCCAGGATAGATGACTTCTTCAGGACGAGCGGTGAGAAGGGTGAGGCCTGGAGGGTGAAGGGAATGCGGGGTAGAAAGGGGGAACCAATTACAAGAATCTAAGTATAGCCTCCTCCCTGGAGAATGGACAGCAGAGAAGAAGGCAGAGGGAGACGTCGGACAGTGTAACTTATGACAAAACTAAAATAATTTATGAATTATGAAGGGTTCAGGAGGTATGGGGGAGGGGAAGGGAGGGGGAAAATGAGCAAACGACATTGAGGGCTAAAGTAGAGGGCAAATGTTCTGAGATTGATGAGGGCAACAAGTGTACATATGTGCTTGACTCAATGGATGTATGTATGGACTGTGATAAGAATTGTATGAGCCCTCAATAAAATAATTTTTTAAAAAAACTTAATTATAACAGAAAGTCTTCTTTCTCCTATAGATCAACTTAGTAAGACTTGAACTGTTGACTTTGTGATTAGCCGTCCAAAGTCTAACTCACTATGCCACCAGGGTTCAAATGAATACAATTCTGGCTGAAAAGAACAGGCTTCAAGACTGTGAAGCATATGTCCAATAGTGAGGCAATATTTTTATCTGTATTATGTTGCCACTATTGTAAAAAAAAAAAAAAAATCCCCCAAACGAATGAAATAGAATGGATTGTTTCTAAGTTAAGGTAAAAAAGTTTTTTAAAAGGCTAAGAAAATGAGGACTGCCTTAAAGAAAGACCTCAACAATTCCTTCTCACTTACGTAAGAATGTGCCTTCAAGCACACCAGCCTGTGTGATCACAAGGTGTCGAAGGCATCAGGTATAAGGCATCATCAGAACAAAAAATCTTACCATAGCGAATGAGGAGGGGAGTGCGGTATGGAGACCCAAAGCCCATTTGTAGGCCACTTGAGATCCCCTTGCACAGGGGTCTCAGGGAGGAGACGAGTCAGTCAGGGTGCGATGTAACAACGATGAAAAATACAACTTTCCTCTAGTTCCTAAATGCTTCCTCCGCCCCCCACTATCCATGACTCAAATTCTACCTTGCAAGTCTGGCTAGACCAGAGGGTGTACACTGGTACAGATGGGAACTGGAAGCACACAGAATCCAGGGTGGATGATCCCTTCAGGACCAGTGGTATGAGTGGCGATACAGGGAGCATAGAGGGTGAATGGGTTGGAAATGGGAAACCGATTACAAGGATCTACATGTGGCCTCCTCCCTGGGGGATGGACAACAGAAAAGTGGGTGAAGGGAGATGTTGGACAGGGCAAGATATGACAAAACAATAATTTATAAATTATCAAGGGTTCATGAGGGAGTGGGGAGCAGGGAGGGAGGGGAAAAAAGAGGACCTGGTTGATGCCAGGGGCTTAAGTGGAGAGCAAATGTTTTGAGAATGATGAGGGCAATGAATGTACAAATGTGCTTTATACAACTGATGTACGTATTAACTGTGATAAGAGTTGTATGAGCCCCTAAAACGATTAAACAATAATAATGTTCCTTCATTAAGCAAGCACATATGCTTAACACATAGCAGGTACTTTGCTGTTGTTAGATGCCATCAAACCAGCCCCAACCTTGGAGGCAGTATGTATAATAAAGCATTGCCAGATCTCCGACCATCCTCAAGACCACTCTTTCATTGACCCTGGTTGTACTTCTTCCAAGGCTGACTCGTTCATTTGTCTGGCAATACAAGGCATAGTTAATATTTTTTTACCAACACAATTCAAGTGCATGAATTCTGCTTTGATCTTCCTTTTTCACTGCCCAGTTTTCACATACAAATGAGGCAAATGAAAAGACTACAGCTTGGTCAAGTACACTTGAGGCAAGCAAGAACATTTTTGCTTTTTAAAACTTTAAAGATCCTGCATATACTCGTGTATAAGCCAAGGTTTTCAGTACATTTTTAATGCAGTTTTGTGGTAAAATTAGGTGCCTCAGTTGATATTCCGGTCGGCTTATACTTGAGTATATCCGCTATCTTTTTATAGCACATTTGCTCAATGTAACATGTGCTTGATTTCTTCAATGCTGCTTCCAAGGGTGTTAATTATTGATTCAAGTAGAAGAAAAGCTTTGACCATTTAAATTGCCTCACCATTTATCATGGCACCGTTTACTGACCCCGCGGTGAGGGTGTGGGGTCTCATCATGCTCATCTGTAATCCATATTGAAGGCTTTGCCCTTCATCAGTTATTGCAGCAACTCTTCTTCATTTTCCTCATGCAAGATTGTGCCATCTGCTTACCACAATCTTCCTCCATTTCCGACTACCACGTTTTTCCTCATAGTCCAGCTTTTCAGATTATTTGTTTAGTACACAGATGGAATAAATAAAAAAGATATACATCTACCACACTTTTTCCAATTTTGAACCACACAGTAACACCTTGTTCTATTCAAATGACTGCATCCTAATCCATGGACAGGTTCTGCATGAGCACATTTAGTATCCTGGGACTCCCATTCTTCATATTATCCATAATTCTCTGCTTTGAATTAAGATTGGTCTGATATCAGCAATGATACCTATCCCTTGTTCCACATTCTTTTCTAAATCTACTTCTAAAAATCAGCCAATGTAAAACCAATGCATCACAACTAAACACCTGTAACTGATCATGGGGATCACACAGGGTCAGGCAACATTTCATTCCATCGTGAAAGGGGTCATGATGAACCATAGCCTATGGCACTTAATGGTAACTAGGAATGACTACATGATTACTTCTAGCACCCTATTTTTCTACAAACAGTTCTGTAAAAGAATACACAAACTCTCACTGCTACTGAGTCAATCAATAGTCGATACCAACTGATAACAACCCTATAGGGCAGGGTAGAACTGCCCGAGGGCTCCCGAGACTGTAATTCTTACTGGGAGTAGAAAGCCCATCTTTCTACTGCAGAGCAGCTGGTGGTTTCGAAATGCTGACCTTGTGGATCATAGCCCAATGCGTAACCACTCTGTCACCAGGATAGGTGATATAACACATTACTACCTTAACATTTACTAGTCAGGAAAAACAACAGACCTACATGGCCCCCAGGAAAGATCACCTGCTATGTAAGCTCTGTGGTTTCCCAATCCTACCTGACACAAATGTGACTGGACCTCTGATCTCAGTCAGCTTCTGCCTGGTGAAGTTCCGAATGAGGCACTGTATCAACGTGCTCTTCCCAACCTTTGGAGGCCCCATCACCACCACTACTATTGGTGGGGGCTCTAGTGGAGTTCTGTCAACCACTGGAATGTGATGCTTTTTTGTCTTCAAATCCTGAGTTCTGTTTGGGGGTGGGATGGGGAAGAAAGGGTAAATTTTCCTTCAAAATATAAAGGGCATCAACCATTTTAAATAAAGCAAAGCATACAATACGTGGTGATAAGTAACGTGTTATTTCTTAACTTCTGGTGCCAATCCAAGCAGTAATGATCTAACAAGATGATTTCAACCAGTAAAGAAGGTTGAAAAACATGAACACCTTAATTAACTTTTACATCCATAGTAATATGTTTAAAAGAAAACAAAAGGCAAACACAGAGATTGTATAGCTTAAGAGGAGAGGCTCTGAAGATAAATGTGGTTCTTCCAATTACTGCTTGGGGTTTTCAACTGGTACAAATCGTGAACTCTCTCACTGGAAAGTTAGAGATTTGAGTCCAGTCAAAGGTTCCTAAAAAGGCTTGTCATCTTCCAAAAACATCAGCCACTAAAAGCCCTATGTAGTACAGTTCTACTCCAACACACATAACAAAAATCTTACGTGACAGCAACTTTTTTCTTTTTCATACATGAGTGAAGATGTTACTTTCTGAGCCTCTGTATAAAAAGAGGACAATAATTCCTACACTTTCAAGGCTGTTTGGAGGATTTAATTCAATAATGTTTAAAGAACACTGTTTGGCATATACTAAGGACTTATTATGGAAACTTGTTTAATAATACCTAACACAATTGTATTAAATCTATCTAGAAAACAACAAGCACATTTATTCCTAGAGATTGTAAATTTTAAGAGCAAATTTTAAAAGAAAAAATGTTTAAGCGTTTCTCTTGAGCAAAACAAACAAAGAAAATAATCCACGTTAGAGCTGGAGGCCAGGTCACTTCTGTAGAATAGGCTCTACACCATTTTGTAAATGGCATACAACACCCATCTCGATATCCTCTGGAACTGGACAGGGCAACTTCTACCTCCACTGTCAAACGAGCTCGTGAATACAAAGGTCTTCTGTAAGAGGCTTCTACTGTTTAAAAAGAATAAATGAGAAGAACCACCTGACTAAAGCTCAATGTACCTGTGAAAGGATCGAGCCATCCGCTGAGCAGACTGAACTGCAAAAGCTTTGGGGTTTCTCTTTTGGGCATCTTCTTCATCTCCAAGTTGAAGATCCTGAAGATGTCTTTTTTTTTTCTTCTCAGCTTTGGGTCCACTGTTTTTCTTTCTGTGCTTCTTCGGATCCTTAGCCTCCATAGTAGTTTTTTACAACTCACAAAAAGTGAACCTACTTCAAATGAGCGAGGGCAAAAAAAAAGCAGGATTTAACAATCTAGCCAACAAAAAGGAAAAACAATCTTTTCTTTCTTTATAAAAAGAGTATGCATTTGTTCACTCCTCAGAGGTATAAACTGCTAAATCCACAATTTCTTTTCTTTCTGATATGATATAGTTACCTCTGATTACACAATTTTTATTTACCTTAAGGGTCTAGATCAATACTATCCATTTCTGAAATAATTGGAATATTCTGCCTATATTTTTCAATTAAAATGCTTGAGCAATTAGGATGTACTTAATGAAATAAGAAACTATTATTTAATTTTTCATTCTAAATTTAAACACCCATCTAAAGCTCAAAACCAAAACCAAACTCACTGCTATTGAATTGACGCCAACTCATAGCCACCCTGAAGGACAGGGTAGAAGAGCCCGTTTGTTTCTGAGACTAACTCCTTATACGAGTAGAAAGGCCCACCTTTCTCCTGCAGAGCATTGGTTTTGAACTACTGACCTTGCACTTAGCAGCCCAGCACATAACCACTGTGCCACCAAAGCTTCTCACCTGTAGCTAATGACCACTTTATATAACAACTAGGTTAAGTAGTTTCCTATCTTAAACTATTGTGATAATTCAACTAAAAAGCTTAAAAAAAAAATCCAAACACTTATTGACCCTCTAATATGACAGATGCTTGGATGATACAATTTATGCTTGACTACTAACCTAAATGTTAGCAGCCTGGATCCACCCAGGAGCACTGCAGAAGAAAGTCCGGGCAATCTGTAAGACAACAGTCAAAAAACACTTTGGAACAGTTACCCTGAGTGAAAAACAACTCAAAGGCAACAGGTTATGATGTTCTAGGCATTGTACCAAGAGATAGCTACAGATAAATTGGTACAGGAAACTCAAACTAATCTATTCTACACCAAGTCAAGGGCTGGCTACAGAATCGAATCAGTACACTTAGGTCAGAGACTTCTCACAGGCATACAGAAAGAGTCCTTATATTCCTGGGTAGTGCAAAAGATTAATGTGTCTAAACGTGAAAGAAAACAAACAGACCCTGAACTATTCATATGGTTATATATGTATGCATATGTGTGTATTGTTGTTGTTGTTGTATACATTGTTTTACTTTCTGTTGTTGCCTCGTTGCACTCAGTCTGGTGATGGTACATAGCATGTCTACCTGAAAGGGACAGGCAGAATAAACAAGCCAGAAGAGAGAACGGGATGAAAGATCAGGGGAACATGGGGGTAGGGGAGGGGGGAAAGGAAGGAAGAGGGTGTTAACAAGCACAGGCACAAGGGAACAACAAGTGATCCAAAATCAATGTCAAGGAGGGTGCGGGAGGCCTTGCATGACTGGATCAAGGGCAATGTAACCGAGAGGAATGCCTAAAACCCAAACGAAGGCAGATCATGATAGTGGGACAAGAGGAGAGTACAAAGAAATAGAGGAAAGAACTAGGAGGCAAAGGGTACTCATAGAGATGTAAATAAATACAGGCATATAAAGATGTAAATATATTTATATATGAGGGAGAAATAGATCAATGTACATATATTTATAGGTCAAGTATTAAGAAGACAGATGGACAGTGGGCCCCTACACAAGTACTCCCCCAACACAAGAACACTTTGTTCTAACAATTTGGCAGTCTGAGATGCTCACCTACCTGACATGATTGCTGAAAACAATGGGTGCACAAGAAAATGTGAAGAAAGCGGATGATGCTTGGCAACCAAAAGATATAACACCTGAAGTCACTGAAGGCAATGGGTGCACAAGCAAGTGTGGTGAACAAAGCTGATGGTGCTCAGCTACCCAAAAGATATAGCACCTGAAGCCTTAAAGACCTGAAGATAAACAAGCACCATCTAGCTGAGAGACAACAAAACCCACTCAAACGAAGCACACCAGCCTACCCCTACTAGATCGCTGAGGACATATGGGGTGCATTAGCAAAAGTGGGGAAGAAAGCAGATGGTGCCCGGCTATCAAATGATACAGCATCTG